AAAGTTTGAACTCTGGAGTTCGAAGGTGATAGCTCTACCGTATACCCAGCCCATTTCAAGATCGCATGCATCCGAAGATTTTGCTTACAATAAGCCCCGCTCCGGTACAGTATCGATGCTGATAATGTACTGAAACTTTCTATAAAACAGTAGCGCAAAATTTGATTGACGCGTATTTAATGATTTAAAAAAAATATTTACGATAGAATTACTACAAAAATTAAGGAACGAGCTCACCAAATTAGTATCCAGAAAAGAACGGCACGGCTTAACAGGGTTTAACCAATGGGAATCTTTTCTTTCCATGCTGATTTCACGGTCTAAATCACTAACACTGGCACAACACGGTTACTGAATACGTAAAAACTGAACTGGACTATACATTTGGAAATAATTCAAACGAAAATTCTTCCGGATGGCATAGCGCCACCAGCCAAAACGTTGACAGAAGATTATCGCAAAAAATCCCGACAATCCTAGCTTTGAAGAAAATATATTTGTTCCAAAAGTCTGACGGTATCTTTATTTCCAGTTTATGGAAAAATATACATGGAAACATTTTTTACAATGCGATAAAATTTAATTATTACGTTTGAAAAAGAACATTATTTATGTTCAAATTTTAAGGAGGAGGGAGGGGGGTCTGGAAACTGTGACGATCCATACACAATTTTCTGGCTTGACAACTTTCCACTTCCGTGTGAAATTTTTAATGGATCTTACCGAGGGGAAGTCAGCTTTCCTTAGAGTACCTCTTGTATTCAGATTTCTCATAGTTACTCTGGATTAATCTGGTTTGCTGCGAGAACACAAATAACTGAGCATATTGTTTTGGATCCTGACCCTGCAGTTGACAGTCCATCGACGAAAAGAAAGCACTATGAAAACAAAAGTCTAACTACACAAAGAAAACGATCCTATTTCTAGTCTCGGTTCTAAAAGTTTATTATTTTCTCTTGTAAATAACAAAAACAAGATCCAACATAATTCTTAGTTTGAGTGGTGGTAGTAAGAAGATATTTCTAATTAATAATAATAAATTGAAAAGTTAGCAAACGTCTTATAAAATGCTCTACAACCTAGTCTACAACATTAACTGAAGGGTGATTTTTCACAGCGATGAATGTGCTTATGTGTATATTAAAAAATATCAAACGTCGCTTCGACGAAACTCTCAGTACTCCCACGTAAACTAACACCACTTCTCTGATGGTGGTGTTGGTTTGCGTGGAAGGAAGTGGTGAGCGTTTCACCGAATTTTTGTTTGAGTTTTAGTTTAAAAAAGCGGTTTCGTCGTTTTGATGGAAAAGCATTCTTTGTATTCGAATCAATTTGAAATTGCTTTCAGTGTAGAACTGGTTTGACTTTTAAATTTTAAATTGTTTCCAGTGTAAAACTGGTTTGACAGCTGCTGTTCCTGCTGCGCTAGCGGGTATTTTTGTATTTGCATCAGTTATTTTTTTACAAAATGGGACGAAAAATTTGCGCCATTCCCCGCTGTTATAATTCCGCAGCTCAGAATGATATTTCTTTTTATTCTGTCGCAAAACGGTAAGTAATCCGGTAATCCGTTTGCGCAGGCAACACATTCATATTGCTTAAATGTTTTCTAGCAACATTGAAAATCGTGAAAAATAGCTGAAAATTATTAGCAGAGCAGAAATCAGCGAATTGAATTTGTTTGTCTGCTCGGATCATTTCGCCGACGTTGATTTTGTCAATGCATCGATGAAATCACATGGGTAAGTGAAAATAATATAAAGTGAAAATACCACGGATTAATCAAAAGAAATTGCACGCACTATCGGAAACAACTTGATATGCCATAGAGATTGCTGACGTTTATCGTACACACACTAGGTAGCGTATACGTATACGAGAAATGTTTTCATCGGGAAAAAATCTTTCAGAGCTAAAAATTTTCCCGATGAAAACAAATTACTAACACAATCATACTTTAGCAATCTCTATGTTTATTTATTAGTGATGACAGGTGGAATCTGGTATAATTTATTTTATTCAAGATAAATACAGATCGTTCCGTTTATTCCGATCAAAGTGAAATCAATGTATGCTGTGCAGTGTGTGTGTTGAACACGCAGTTGTTAAACAATAAACATTAAAAGTTTATCTCATCCTCAACTTTATAAGGCGGCGTCCATTTATAACATAACGCTAAAAATAAAAATATTCTACCTCCTCCTCCTAGAAAATTAACATCGCTCATAAGCTTCTTCAGTGGTCTTATTGCACCTAACCCGCATAAACGCGAACCATACCTTGACCTTACCGAAAATGGTTACAAATTGTTTATAATCCCTGCTAAACTTTAACTGAAATGGTTATGGAACTTTACATGATCGTTTGTGTGATAAAGTTTTAACCTTATGTATTATGGTTTTTTGGAAGTGAACCTTACAAATAATGGGTTGTTAAGAACCATTACCATTCAAAATTCTTGTTTTCTCCATACATTTTCTGAAAGAATACTATATTAGAACCTTTTTACTTATGGTTTGAGAATTTTAATGGTAATGGTTATGGTAGTCAGTAAGGTTCATGGATGGTTTTGTATTGTCGGTCAACTTTACGTGGAATATATCGCGAATTGGTAATCATTAATTTACAGGTTAGATCTAACGGAAGAACTTATATGTCTAACACCTGGAAGGTAATGGTCATGAGAACAACTTTATTGAAGACACTGATTTGAGATATGGTCAATATTACAAGATATTGCACAATAACGAAACTCACACATAGCAACGTGTAGTGTAAAAATTCAGCTACCAATAATTCAATAATGGTGACAATGATTCAATAATATATAAATACATAAATCAATTTTATCACCTCCCTTCCCTCGGTCTATGATTTAGTGAGCTACTTGGACGAATGCAGTATCTTTGTATAAAACATTTCAATACGATCGATTTTCTTCACAATTTTTTTATATCGTTGCAAAAACATTCACTGTTGTGATTGTTATTATATGTGGTAGATATGTAATACATTACATCTTTTAGAGCCTCCCTTAGATGTATTCATACTATTTCTGCTACATAGTTTGATAAAGGAGCTTATGGAGAATAGCAACCGCATCAAGTAATATGTTTGCCACTGAATTATTAACGAAAGACGAAGTCGATGAAGAGAATAAATCAAAATCACTTGCACCCCGTTGCCTCTAATCCCCTCATTTGAGAGCAAGCGTAAACTTCTAGTTGGGGCATAATAGCCAAAGAAGAAAAAGAAGAAGATTACATTTTTTTCTTTAAACCATTTGGCACAAATAGCATGAAGCATGTTTGCAAAACTGTGGTTACTCAATTAGAATATCGAATGAATCCTGAAATTAATAGATAAATGCAGACAGGACCTCTTGAAATGTTAATCTAGATATGGCCAGCATATGCATAAATACAAAAACTTGTTTGTACAAATTTTTGTGAGCTTTAAAACAACAGTTCGTATTAAGCAGGATGAACTGTTACGCTAACGGTCATTTCAAAACGTAGTCAGAAATTATACCGTTTATGTCAGATTAAGCTGGCATAAACGAACACGCTAAATATAAAATGATTGAAGGAAGAAAAAATCGATGTTGATTTTTCAATCGTCAGAGTAAACACTTTCTGAATCAGCGTTTGTATGAAGTTGCTATTCCTTTCTTTGCCAGCTGCCACTACTCTATGGTGGTTCTGGAATGATATGCTGCCAACAAGATCGATTTTGTCCCCAACCTAATGAATCCTCCGAATTGCCCGGAATTTCGAACAATCGAAAAATACTGGCCAATTTCAAAGCAGCGACTTAGACGAAGTCAATGACATTCAGCTAATGCTGGCCTAAGTTCGAGATTTCGTTCGAATTGGAGAAATGTAACCATCTAATGCTGTAACATTGAAGTTTTAATAAAAGTTCTGTAAAGCAACCATGAATGGACTATTTTAACTTATTTAATTACGAATTGCAGGTCTTTTTTTGCGTACCAATTGTTTTTAGTCATCCTACAGAAAATATATCAACATCATGTTTCACGGGAAGGTTTGAGTGGTACAAAACGTCATTTTTAACTGCTCGAATGATGTGATCCATTTTCCGATTCTCTCGTACTTTTACACTCCTATTCTGTGCTATCACTTCAAATCTCACTATTCACTCTCAAATTAAAAGTGATACTGCAAATGTAATCGATACAGAAGATTATTAGTTATGCACCATGTCTGATTGAAATAAATATCATGATGATAGGGATGAAAAATCAGATTGATGGCTGACTTGCAACATACCATAGGCAAAATTACAGAGTAGTAATAGGGTAGATAACTACCACGAGATAAGCGCCTATTTTTAGCAGAGACCATCGAATATATCAATGATTTCGATGTGATCGAATCAATCATACGTTTGGTGCGATACCTGCAATACCAAGTCGATAAGAACGATTTACTCCACGCACATTTATGAATAACACACCATGCTAATCAATTTTTCCTGCCTTGATCCGTATGACAAATAGTAATACATTTGTGACTATTTTTTCAAAACAAATAGTACTCGTGGAAAGGTAAATGAATGTACTTAGTATGCAGTAAATTAAATCTAAAGTCTGCTTGCTTCTGATTGCGAAATGGTAATTCTAATTCATTAAATTTGCCACATCTGACAGCCCTATCAGCGATGTTCAAGTTCAGCAAGGACGCCGTTGTATCCGATTATTATAGCTAGTAACCATGATGGCGCCGCAAAAAGAGAGTTTCCTTTGCATTTTCGATCTAAACATAGGATCAAAGCCGTTCCTACGGTACTAAGGCTGTGAACGAATTGCCGGGTTATCGATCCACCGGTTTCCGAGCAGAACTCAGCCACGATTGTCAAAATCCAACTTCTTGTCTGTCAGAAATAACCACGCTGACCAGCTAGCATCGCTTGCGTCTGACTGTGTGGTGAAAACAGCATAAATGCAAATCGTTGCAAAATATACTGAACTGAAAAAAATACTCTCCATGATTGATGAGCGGTTGTAAACATGTATTTCCGATAGCATTCGACCCGCTTCTCAAAGCTGAATTGGATCAATCTTGAGATACATCCCCGTCTGTGCGGTCAGCACAAACGTCTTCGTGTCAAAGCGCAACTGGTCCGGTGTGTTCGCCCGAGGCGAAAATCGGAAGTTTCTCAGCAGCGTAACCAGCCCGATCTTGGTCTGCATCAGCCCGAATCGCATCCCGATGCAAACGCGTGGTCCTTCACCGAACGGCAGGTACGCGTACGGATGCCGAGACTTTACCACGTCCGGTAGAAACCGATCCGGATCGAAGCGTTCCGGGCTGGGGAAGTAGCCTGGATCGTGATGCATCGAGTGTATCGGGATTTGGAAGAGAGTCCCCGGCGGGATGGTAAACTTCAAGCCCTCCGGTGTGTACGGTGAGTTGGACATCCGGAAGAGATTGTCCACCGGGGAGTATTTGCGAAGGGTTTCTGAAACAAGATGTTGGTGCTATTCATTTTTCAAACCACATAAAATTACAAATTCGCCGAACCTACCACTGACAACCCGGTCCAAATAATCCATGCTATGCAACGTTTCGTACGTCACTTCTCCGCCATCCTTCGCAATCGATTCTTCAATCTCCTGCCTCAGCCTTTCCTGCACGTCAGGATTCGCCGCCAGCTCGTACAGACAAAAGTTGATCGTCGTCGAGGACGTCTCGAAGCCGGCGGTGAAAAATACGAAACACTGTGCCGCGATCTCGTTCAGCGTGATTCCCTCGCCACCCGAATTAGCCTCGTTGCTGAGCTTTCCCTTGTTATTTATCTCCATCAAGAGATTCATAAAATCATTCCGTTTCACGCCGTTCTCTTCCCTGTAGTGCACCGTATTCCGCGCAAGGTCCGTGAAAAACTTTTCCACATCATCATCGATGACCTTCAGCTTCACCATCTTTGAAAACCGCTTGTAGCTTCCACCGATGAAAAACTTCAGGAACCTCACCGGATCAAACCTGTTCGCTTTGAGGCCCATTAACCGAAACTCCGAACTGGGATTCCTTATCGAATCGCACTCAACCCCGAAAGCCACATTGCCAATCACATCGATCGTAAACCGCTGCAGCATATTCTTCAACTCTATGTCCTCCCGGTGGCAGTTCTCCGCCAGAAAATCCCTCATCCGCTCCGCCACATTCAGCACTGCACCGAACATGTACTTCATCTTTCCGGAGGTGAACGTCGGTGACATTTTCTGGCGCATCGCCTTCCATGCAGCACCCTCCAGGCTGAATAAACTAGCACTCAGTGGATCTCCGACCGGATCCACGAACATTCCACGGTCGTGGAACTTCTGGAAGTCCTTCACCAGGATGCTTTTGCTGATTTCCGGATCCATAACCAGAATCGCCGGTTGAAAGAAGTTCATGATACCGCCCAGCTTGAGGCCACGCCCCTTGAACTCCCAGTACAGCCTTTGGAGGATGGTGCAGCTGTGCTCCTGCTTAAATATTCCTCGGACATTTCCGAACAGCAGATGAGGGTTTGCCGCTGCTGGGACACCCAAACGGGACCATTGTTGCTGCTGGCGTCGCAGGAAGTAGTACGCCAGTGCCGAAAGGCATACGAAAGTTGTGAGAAGAAGAGTTATAAGATCCATTGCAGCTTCTGCTGCTGCTGCTGCTGCTTCCACTTCCTTGTTTGGAGATCAGATGGAAACTGAACTGTAGACACGATACTGAATGATTTTATTGCAGAATGATTAGCAAAAGCGAAATCTTCCACGCGCCAGCTGATAAGAAACAGGTGATGGCGGTTTCGCGTTAAGTCATTGTTTAAATGTCGAGTCATGTTGTAAACAGTTGAGCGGCTTCATCATAATAGCAAGCAATAAGTAATTATTGAAAGATTAGATTTTCACCGCAACTGCACAGTGGTTGAAGATGAAAACTTAGATGGAAAAAAGAACGCTTTAAACTAATTACGACACCAATTTGATGACTTCAGTTGAGCACAACAATAATTCTGCATGCAGAACTGTCATCAGATTGCTCAATGCACGCAGTGCGCTGATATTCTGGAATCCACAAAGCTAAAAACAGTCAAACACAAATCGACGCTTTGTGTGGATTGCGCTAATTTATTTAAATAGAAAAAAAATGTGCGAAGCATATAGAAGAACCACACTCGTTTTGTCGAGTGTTGACGAAGCATGCTAAAATTTGCTCTGCAAACGCTTCGGGGAGCATACTTAGGTTGGCAGTCAATGACCAAAATAAAATCATAAAAAGGGTGGTGCTATCAAAACATGACGTGTTAAGTTTATTCTAGACGTGAGACAGTATTACCTTTTTGGGAATGATTTTTTTTTTTAGGTTTTTTTGTTTTATTTTATTCTATTCAATATATACTATATAGTTCCCTTTTAGCTCGATAATTTTATTCCAGCGATTTTCCAACTTTATAATCCCGTTCGAAAAGTAATTTTCCGGAAGATCTGCAAAATACTCCGCCGCGGCGTCGATGATTTCCTCACGTGAGCTGAATTTTTTATTCATGAGCCATCTTTTGAGGTTTGAGAAGAGATACTAAAGAAGAGGTACCAAAATCGGACGAATACGTTGAATGCAGAAGCAATTGAAGCCGTAAGTCATTGATTTTAGCCATGATTGCAATGCTGTTGTGCGTCGGCGCATTGTCTTGCAAAAAAAAAATAGCTTCATGTGAGACGGTTTTGCAGCGATTTCGGCCTTCAATCGCTCCAATAATGCACAGTAATGCTCGCTGTTGATGTTTTTTTTCTTTTTCGAGGTAGTCCACGAAGAGTATGTCATGACAATACCAGAAAACCGACGCCATAACCTTTCCGACCCATCGAGCCTCCCTCGGCCGCTTCGGAGCACTCATGCCGGCTTCAGTCCATTTCCGGGCACTCATTCTGTTCTCTGGGGTGTAATAGTGGATTCAAGTTTCATCAACAGCTACAAATTGACCGCCCGATTCCGCATCAGCAAATCCAAACACTTTCGAAGTGCTCTCGCGTTCTTGTTTTGCCCAGACAACCAGAAGTCGTATAATAATGTACAGACAGTATCGTAAATTGCTACAGTTTAAGTAAAAATCGCATATTAGAATGGCATACCTCGCATTATGTTTAAGTTAAATCGTATAGAATGCAAATTTCCGACTTATATGCGATGACTCATTTTTCCGTCGTACTGTATCACAAATTTAATCGGATTACATCGTAAGACTTTTCAAAATGGATTTGTTATTACAGATCAAATCGCATATGATGTTAAATCAACTCGTTTAAAATTAAATGAAAATATGCACGTACATGGCCTCCACTTTTGTACGTATAAGCCATTTCTTTGCATTCTATACGACTTGTTTGTTTGTATATATGTTTGTATATCACGAAAACAACTTTAAATATACGTGCATTCTGGTTGTCTGGGTGGTCAGAAGTGACCTTGCGCGGCACCCAGCGGCAGGATAACTTTTTCATATGTAGACATTTGCCCAAGATATGGCGTGTGCGTTCAGTACTAATCTCTACTAATCTACTAAAAAATAATGTTTTATGAGAGAACAAAAATCGTTTTTATCCATACTCAACATGATGCCACACACGCCAACAATAAGCTGTCAAAACAAAACTAAAAACAGTATCACTCTGAAATTTGGCATGTCTGCCTAAATATGATCGGGCTACAAGGCACCATAACTTTTTTGCAATAGCAGCGCATTCTGGCGGTCAAGGAAGTTACTTCTCACCCCACCTAGTATTGTCAAATGTGGTTGGATTTTTCTGTCCTAGGAAAATATTCAATTTGCCTCACAGTGTTACATATGTTTTAGCAACTGTGTAATTACTATTTTAAATAATCTTTTTCTAGTTTTACTGAGGGTGGCTATCAACGAAACAGTTTCCAGTTTATTAATTCTCTATTCATTATTATTCATTGTTGGTTTTTAATCTGAATTCTATTTTAGTTTATCTATTTGTCAAAGCTCATTCGTAATAACATCACGGAGCCGACATTCTATTTCTGATTTACAAAATTACTTAATTGAAACTAGTAGAACAGGGTCCGATTACTCGAGCCTTGCTCTACTCTAAATTTTGATTATTGTTGTTTATCCTTTATTCTCAATTCTTTATTATTTTTCTATGTAGGTATTATTTTCTAAGAATTCCATGTTTTTTGTTCATTCTTCGATCGTCATTTTTCATTTTAAGTCGTGTGTCAAGTCCTCAATAATAATTATTTATCATTTATTTACTGTTTTTTTTTCCTTATTATTCATGTGTTTACTTGAATCTTTATTTACTTTACTTTAATCTTTATTTACTTTACTTTAATCTTTATTCATTGCAATTTATTCTTTTATCTCTAATTTTTATTCTCTTTATATATTCTTTGAACACTTTTTTTACTCCCTATTATTTATTCTCTACTATTAAAGTTACATTCCTATTTCTTTATTCTAAATGTTTTATTCGGTGTTATTTATTGTTGATTCCTTAATCATTGTTGATAACTGTTCATTCTTTAACCTTGTTATCTGTTGTTCCAATATTAATTAATTATTTAAGGCACATTCTACTTCGTCGTTTTTCATTAATCTTTATTATTTCACAGCCAATGGTAATTGGTTAAATTATATGTATTATTCAGAACTCTTTATTCTTTATTTTTATTTCTTATTCATTATTCTGTATTCTTTATTTTTTATTCTATATTCTTTATTCTTTATTCTTTATTCCTTATTCATTATTCTTTATTCTTTATTCTTTATTCTTTACTCTTTATTCTTTATTATTTATTCTTTATTATATATTCTTCATTCTTCATTCTTTATTCTTTATTCTTTATTCTTTATTCATTATTCTTTATTCTTTATTTTTTATTCTTTATTCTTAATTCTAAATTCTTTTATCTTTATTCTTATTCTTTATTCTGTACTATTTATTCTCTATTCTTCATGCTTTATTCTTTATTCTTTATTTTTCTTTATTCTTTATTCTTTATTCTTTATACTTTATTCTTTATAAGTTAATTCTTTTTTCTTTATTTTTCATTCTTTATTCTTTATTCTGTATTCTTAATTATTTATTATTTATTATTTATTCTGTAGTTTTTATTCTATATTGTTTAATCTTTATTATTAATAATTAATTCTTTATTCTTCATTCTGTATTCTAAATAATTTATTCTTTGTTCTTTATTCTTTATTCTTTATTATTTATTCTTTATTCTTTATTCTTTATTATTTATTCTTTATTCTTTATTCTATATTATTTATTCTATATTCTTTATTCTTTATTCTTTATTCGTTATTTTTTTAAATTTATTCTTTATTCTTTATACTTTATTCTTTATTTTTTATTCTTTATTATTTTTCCTTCATTCTTAACTCTTTATTATTTATTCTGTACTATTTATTCTACACTATTTATGCTTTATTCTCTATTCTTTATTATTTTTCCTCTATTCTTTATTCTTCATACTTCATTCGTTTTTATTTTATTTATTTTTTGTTAATTTTTCGTTCTTTACTCTTTATTCTGTATTGTTAATTATTAATTCTTTATTCATTATTCTTTATTCTTTATTCTTTATTCTTTATTATTTATTCTTTTTTATTTATTCTTTATTCCTTATTCTTTATTCTTTATCCTTTATTATTTATTCTTTATTCTTTATTCTTTATTATTTATTCTATATTCTTTATTCTTTATTCTTTATTCTTTATTCTCTATTCTTTATTCTTTATTCTTTATTCTTTATTCTTAATTCTTTATTCTTTATTCTCTATTCTTTATTCTTTATTTTTTATTCTTCATTCTTAATTCTAAATTCTTTTATCTTTATTCTCTATTTTTAATTTTTTTTCGCTTTTCTTTACTCTGTATTTATAATTCCTTATTATTTTTCTTTTTTCTGTATTCTTTATTCTTTATTCTCTATTCTTTATTCTTTATTTTTTATTCTTTATTCTTAATTCTAAATTATTTTATCTTTATTCTCTATTTTTAATTTTTTTTCGCTTTTCTTTACTCTGTATTTATAATTCCTTATTATTTTTCTTTTTTCTGTATTCTTTATTCTTTATTCTGTACTATTTATTCTCTATTCTTCATGCTTTATTCTTTATTCTTTATTTTTCTTTATTCTTTATTCTTTATACTTTATTCTTTATAAGTTAATTCTTTTTTCTTTATTTTTCATTCTTTATTCTTTATTCTGTATTCTTAATTATTTATTATTTATTATTTATTCTGTAGTTTTTATTCTATATTGTTTAATCTTTATTATTAATAATTAATTCTTTATTCTTCATTCTGTATTCTAAATAATTTATTCTTTGTTCTTTATTCTTTATTCTTTATTATTTATTCTTTATTCTTTATTCTTTATTATTTATTCTTTATTCTTTATTCTATATTATTTATTCTTTATTCTTTATTCTTTATTCTTTATTCTTTATTCTTTATTATTTATTATTTATTATTTATTCTTTATTCTTTATTCTTTATTCTTTATTCTTTATTCTTTATTCTTTATTCTTTATTCTTTATTCTTTATTCTTTATTCTTTATTCTTTATTCTTTATTCTTTATTCTTTATTCTTTATTCTTTATTCTTTATTCTTTATTCTTTATTCTTTATTCTTTATTCTTTATTCTTTATTCTTT